GTAATCGATATGAATCTTATGTAAAATAAGTGTACATAAACGAGAAATTTAGTAGGATTTATTGTTATTATCGTCATCATTTTCTCCTCATGTTCTATAGTTCATCCAAAAAGTTCGTGCGAGTGACGATTTTTTGAATAACTCGAGAACAAAAAGAGATATAAACATGCGGTTATTACTATTGCGTAGAGTTTGGAGTACTCTATCGATCCACTAATAGAAGATGAAAAAAAAATATCGACTTCTCAGATAATGTTCATTCTCGATCTTTGAAAGATGTGAACGTGGTTGTCTTAAGTCTTATAGTGACTCATCGGTTTTAAAGATGTAAAAGATAGCTCAGTGGATACTCTACAAAATGGCGAAAGGCCGACCTCTCTATCTATTATAATTCAAAAATGTCACACATTTTCCTGAAACACTATACAAGTGATGTTTGGTCAATAGGGTGGACTGCAAATATGTATAGTAAAGCTCGCTGTTGATAACTGTTTACATTGTAGAAATGACTGTTTTTGATCTCAAACAACTTTAATAATTGAAGATGATGAACTAGACTATGCAGAAAGAGTATAGATTCAAAATATGTGATTAAAATGAAAAAAAGAATTGTAATTTTATATACTGTATTCTTCTAGTTTATATCGTGTTTGCTACATTGCATGGATATTCCCAGGATCCTTACGATGTATTGAAATCGTCTTTTTAAATACTATAGTTAGCCACTATATGCACTTGTACTTTTATCATTGCGGTTATTGTTAGTATTGCTTCTTCAGAGAGAAGTCTTCGACAACCAAACTGTTGAAAAGAAAACAAATCAATACCAATTAGAACACTAAGGCAACGTAATAAAGACGATGTAAACTCGAAGAATACAGTAAATAGGAATTAGATGTTTGTTTATATCAATGTGTGATACTTTGTAATATGTTGATCATAAGATTACACTGTTTTTTTCATTTTCATCACATATTTTGAATCTATACTCTTTCTGCATAGTCTAGTTCATCATCTTCAATTATTAAAGTTGTTTGAAACCAAAAAACAGTCATTCGTACAATGTAAACAATTATCAATAACGAGCTGTACTATACATATTTGCAGTCCACTCTATAGACTAAATATCACTTGTATAGTCTTCAGAAAAATGTGTGACTTTTTTTAATTATAATAGCTAGAGATATCGGCCTTTCGTCATTTCGTAGAGGATCCACTGAGCTATCTTTTACATATTTAAAACCGATGAGTCACTATAAAACCTAAGGCAACCACGCTCACATCTTTCAAAGATCAAGAATGAACATTACCTGAAAAGTCGATGTTTTTCGTCTTCTATTAGTGTATCGATAGAGTACTCCAAGCTCTACGCAATGGTGAAAACTACAGGTTTATCTCTCTCTTTGTTCTCGAGTTCTTCAAAAAATCGTCACACGCACAAACTTTTTGGATGAACTATAATTAAAAATAATAATTTTATTATTAAATTAGTTTATTTGTAAATAATAATATTTTAATAATTGAAATAATATGAAGTAATAAAGATTTTTGAAAATTATTTTATTGTAGATGAAGTTATATACATACTTTCCCTAGATTGAAAGGATAGGATCTAGAAGCAAAAATTCATCTGTATCTGTCTGTGTGTCTGTAAGAATGGGACAAATGACCATTTTTATTAATGCGGTGAGAAGCACAATATTCATGTAGTCCGTCACGAGCTTTCTTTATTTCTTTGTGATACGATGATTTCGAGAACCAAAACTCAGAAAATAGTCGTTCAAACGTGAGGTGAAAGTATCGAGATCTTAACGAATTCTTTGAAATTTTTGTCAGCTGATCAATCGAAACATGAAATTTAGAATTCTTACGGCTAGACGAAAACGCTAATTGCAGTATAACGCAAATATCATTTCGAAAACACCGATTTCTGATGAATCGTAAAACTGTTTATTCGTTTTCATGAAATATCGTCTTTTTCGAAAAATCGAAATTCGTGCTACGCTCCTCATATTGTATTCGAGTGAAACTCATACTCACATCCCACAATCAACACTTACATCCTGAAAAAAAGTTTATATCAATGACACAATGTTTTATATATTACCATTGCAACGAAAGATTATTTATTTAATATTTAAAAATCTAAACATAAAACTTTTTAATACAAAAACCGTCATAATTGAGCCGATCGGTTGTTTTCTAAAAGACATAGTAATAATATATTTTCGTCGTTTAATTTCATTTTCTGCATCTTCTTTATTTAAAACTGTATTACCATCGGTAATTATACTCTCTCGAAATATTTTATCGAATAAACATTTTTCTTTTAATTTTAAACTTCTTTGTTTAAAATCAAATGCTAATTCCATTTTATCTTGTTGCTTCCATATTGTAGAAAGCATATCAAAATTATTACAAATGTTATAAATTACTAATTTAACTAATTTTTCATTTATATTGAATCCTTGTAAGTAAAATATCACAGCTTCATTGTAATTATCTTGTTCAAGAAATATATTTCCCATGTTTATTTTAATAGACAAAACTTGATTGATCGCTATATTTGAAAGATTTTTCTGTAGATCTAATGCTTTTTTATAATAAACAAGTGAATCATTAACTTGATCATCATCATAATAAGTATCTCCAATTAAAACTAAAGTTGAAAAGATTATGTGATGTTCATGAGAAAAAATTTTCTCTTGTATGTCTAACGCTTTTGTATAATAAACAATAGCTTCTGTATAGTTTTTTTGTACTAGATACAAATTTCCGAAATTTAACAAACTTATAATTCGATCAGGATGATTAAAGGATAGAAATTCTTCTCGCATAGTTAATGCTTGTAAAAAAACTTCATAAGCATTTTTATAATCACATTTTTTTGTAAAAGTCATACCCATATGATTTAATGTAACAGCAACATCTTGATGTCCAATTGGAAACAATATTTTTTGAATATATAATGCTTTCTTATAATATATTAATGCATCATCATATTTTTTTACTGAATCAAAAGTAAGTCCAATGTTAATAAAGAGACGAGCAATATCTTGATGTGTCGGTAATAAACATTTTTCAAATACTTTTAATGTGTGAAAAAATGCTTCTAAAACAAGATGAAATTTTCCTTGTTTCATTAGAATTGTACTAATATTATTTATATTTCGAACTGTTTGTAAAGTTTCAATTGAAAAAGTATCGATATTAATTTCTAGAGATTTTAGATACATTTCTAATGCTCGGTCATAATCAGACATATTGAAATAAATATTAGCTATATTTATTAAAGCCGGCGAATAATTTTGTTTTTTTAAAATATTTAAGTTTTGATTTGTCGATAGATCTTCAATATATTTATTAAAAAAGGATAGAGCAATTTCATAATTACCGTTTAATCTATAAGTTGTACCAAGATATGCTAGAATAGAATGATTATTAATTTTTGATCCATTTTTTCTTTTAATTAAATCATAAGCAGAATGATAATTTTTTATTGCATCATCTATTTTTCCTAATTTTAAATATGCTAAACCAAGATTAATATAAATTTCACTTATATTTTTTTCTTTAGCATTCGACAAAAGATAATTAAAATATTTAATTGCATTATCATATTGATCCATTTCAATAAGTAAAATACCCCAGAGAATAACAGTACTTGTTGTTATCATTTCTTGTCTATTCAATTCAATATATTCTTTTATTATTTTAGTTCCTTCATCTGTTGCTTTTATTTTTATTAAATATAAATTATTATATTTAATTACAGATAAAATTTCAAATGTTGCACCTAAGTCGAATAAAATGTCTTGTTCATCTAGAATATGACTATATTCATCAATACTTGCAAGAATAACACTTTCAATTAAATCAGTATCACATTCAATTTCAAATAAAACACGATGTCTATTCTCATTTGATATTCCAGTGAACTTTAAAGCCACTGATTTTGATAATGTTGTTGAAAGAAAACCATTCATTGATATTAAATTGCCTTCATTAGTTTTTAATTTATCTATTTCATTATTTGACAAATGAACACCATGATAAAGTATAAGTTTAGCACCATAATCTTTGATAAGATTATATTGATCGGAAAGATTTTTTGATAAAGATCCAATAAAATATCTATATCCATATAATTCATTAATATTTTTTGTTCGTAATGATCGATTTATTGTTTTATAAATAAATTGTTGTCTTGTATACCATTTAATTGAATCTTCTATTCGAAATGTTTTATCAAAATGTTCAATGAGTTTTAATTGTCGATTATTATTTTGATAGCGTTCTTTTAATTTATTAATCATATCTTGTTTTGCTTGTTTATCTTGTGATAAAGCAAGAATAACATTTTTAAATAAAATAAACCAAAGAAATGATGCAGATTCTTTTGATATATTATGTGTTGATTTTTTATTTTGAGTATAGATACTAAATGATTGTAAATCATTTTTTAAAACATCAATATTTTGTTGAATAGAATTTATTAAATCATCATATTGAGTAAATATTCCAATTATTTTTGAATATTTTTCTTCAATATCAAAATATTCTTTTGACATGAGAAAAATCGAATCAATTTGTCGTAAATTATGAATTTTTGATATGATATCATTTAAATATGAAGTTGATGTTATAAAAAATACTCGTTTCATTTTCCTTTGAATTGATTCAATATTGTCTATACATATTTCTAAATTTGTATAGAAGTTTATTGTATAATTGATTTTGTTTTTCAAATTAGATTTTATATCATCAATGTTCTCATCTTTATCATACCATAGAAAACTGATATCATCTTGATCATCAATTGATAAATCATTTTCCATTATAACAATATTTTATCAGCCAATTTTGGTTAAATAAATTGATATTTTTTCTTGAGGTATGTACCTAAAAACAATGTAAATAAAAAAAACGTGTTGTCTTTATTATTCCTATTGGCTTGAAGTATACAAGCAAACAAAAAAAGAACAATAGGCTATATTATGAGAGTGATACGTGAAGTTACGTTAAGGATATGGATGAATGAGAAAAGTTGTAAAACACCAAAAATCAAAATGTCGAAGAGGAAAATGTATAACGTAAATTAGTGTTCTTCAGCAAAATGGCTAAAACCTTTTTAAATTTTTTTCACAAGACACCTACTTCATATCATGCTCAATCGGTTGACGGAAAAAAATCCTCGAAATATTGTGAGTACATCTATCAACACAGTGTTCTTTAAGTAGTACTTTTCGATTATACATTTACTCCATTTGAATCAAATGTAAAAATCCCGCTGATGTCACTAAGAGAAATGTATAATCTCAGTCATTTTTAATATTTTTTTTTTAAATCCTAACTTTTGAGTGATTGGTATTTGTTTTTTTTTCTGATTTTGTTTTACCAATCGATAGGTCAAAGTCTTCTCTGTCGTTCTAAAGTAGATCTACATAAAATTTAAAACTTTTAGCAAATCTATAAGGCGCATTGAAGTATGTCTCAACAGCATAATTGTTCTCAACGATGAGCCTAATAATTTTAAAGCGTTTCAAAAATCAATTTTAAATTTTCATTTGTACTTTTATCTGTTTTATGTATATGATCAAATCTAGCTGAAGTCAGACACAACAGGTCACCGAGTATGAACGCAATGTTCTGATTTCAAGACTCGATCATTTCTGAAGTTTCCCCGTGGAATCGATGGCGAATCTGCCGAAACTGATCGGAAACACACTGAGATCAGGTGTGAGAATCATCATTCTGATAGAATTTAATCAACGAGAAATGATTTTCGCAATATTTATATAAAAGTTCGAAAAAAACCTTCAAACAATGCTCTATTCATAATCTCTATAATTATCAAAGTAATTAGATTTTTTTTCTTTTTATTTATCCTAGACAATAACTGAAATTCACACCATTTTTTTCTTCTTCTACGCTTATCACTTATTGTGCAGTTGGAAAAGGAGATCCATCGCATCATCGTCTTTGTTTAATCTAAGTCTAGTTTAAAAATACTCGAATCACAATCGCATCAATATCTTCTCATTATGACCGGTTGAATACCATGAAGTAAAACATTGATAGAAGAAATTTTTAGAGCTGAAACAAGCCAAGTCTTGCAGAATTTGGAGAGTGAGTAATGGTAAAATATAGATCCACGCTCACATCTGAAATAGTTAGACAGAAAAAACTTTTCATGGCCATCCAAGATTACATTTTTCCCTTTCACGTCATTTTCGACATTTTCAAATCTTGTTGTTGAGATCTTCATTTTATTTTGAATGATCGTAATCTTCTGTTTCTCACTTGTGCACGCTATACTATGCATGAAAGACTTCTTTTTGATGATCAACTTCTTGTTTAACACAGAACAATAAGAATAAAAACACGACGACAACATGCAAGAGGTCATCATAACACGAAGAATAGGAAAGTAAAGAGATTACTCTCAACAATAAACTGAAATAGGGCTATACATGATACGCCATGTAGGTATTTTGTACGTTCGGTATATCTTTTTTTTCAGAATTTTTCCTTTGGATCTTTAGCTAGTGAATCAATAAGAATAGAGTATTACAATTATGCGCTATGCTTTAATTTTTAGTGTTAGTAGAGTATGATGAGACTTAAAAGAAAACGTCAAAATTTAACATTATAAGCTCATCAAAATACACACAAATGAACCCTAGAATTCGATACTGCTACAAATGATTAAATAAGTTTTACATTTCACTCATACACAAGTTGTGTTCAAAAAAATACGAATAATCGATCACCAGACAAATGAGAAAAGAAACAAGATGACCATAAATAATATGATAATCATCTTGCCAAAGGAACAGTGCGTCGTGATCGTCGCCACCATAAGATTCGATTCTTCACTATATGACGAAAACGAGGTGACGAAAACATGAAAAGATAGAATCGTCCCTAAAAATGAATGACAAAAAATGAATATCATAGTTCAGAAAAATGCTTACTCCATAAGTGATTGAACCAAAAAGATAAGCGATGTTACCAGTCAATGTCTCTTTATCTTTTCGATCAATATTCTTTTGGATATTCATTGTAATAATGGTATAAGCAGAATGAATACCATACGGACTAAGACCTATTAAGGTAAGTACAACTTGAATGAAAACTATGATTGTCAATTGTCGATCAATGCGTAGACGTGAGAGAGCAGTTATTTTTCTTATGCTTCGATAAGTCAGAATTCCAAATGTTGTCACCATTAAAATATTCATACCACAAAGAATAATACAGAGGAAAAATATAGCATAGGCGAAAAATGCATTACTGCGATAAATACAAACACCTCTAATTGGTGACATGTCCTGATAATATAACCACAGGGTACCATGAACCCACCAGATGATAACAACAAACCAACAAGCTCGATATGCATTTTTAATACTACTCCATTGACGAAACCGGACATATTGGCATGTGATGAGAAAGTGATCGATAGTAGCCAAACATGCACAAGTCAAAGGAATGGCACTAAAACTTACAAGGAAAAAATAACGAAGTTTGCACCAAACGCCAGAAATACGCGTCAAATCAATGTTGAAATATGCGGCGGTGTGGGTGGGGGTGTGGGGGTGTGGGGGTGTGGGTGGGTGTGCTTGCGATCTTCACTTCCATGACCACATCCACCCCCACCCCCACACCCACACCCTCTTCCTTAGTATATAATCTTATTATAATAGGAGATCAACAATAAATTTATTTAGAAATTTATCTTCTACTGATATGAAGAATGCGCGTGACCAAGAAAAGAAAAAAATAGCCAAACATACAAGCATCAATATTTAAACAAAAACTTCATATTATAGCACTACAAGGTTTTGACAGATTGTTCTATGAGCTCTGTCATAACAATTGCCAATTTCATTGCTTCGAATGATGTTAAATATCTTTTTCTTCGATTTTTATTCTTGATAAACTTCTGTGTGTTGAGAATCTGATGATTTGTATTCGGGCTGGTGGTGGTATTGATGACGAACTTGAATCACCTAATGATGATTCACTAGAATTTTCTCGAATTGTTTTGATATAACGTTCTTTTTCTTGATTATTGTCATTCTTCTTACTATTATTCAAGGTATAATTGAATTAAGAAAAAAAAACAACAAACTTTTTTAATGCTTAATATATTCAAGGGTGGGTGTGGGGACTGGTGTGTGGATCTGAATTTCACTATGCTGATCATCTCCCCTCACCCACATCCGACACCCACACCCACACCCTCTTCCAAAATATCTATTTGAATTGAAAAATGAATTATAGTGAGAATTATCTATCTTCCTATCAGCTGAAGGAAAAATTATCTCATATTCAGGGTAATATAAATTCTATTTATTTCAGCATAAAATAAATTACAAGAACTTTTTTAGAGCAATCTTGCTCTGTTAACTATCAGCAGTCGAATAGACATGCATTTAAATCTCCATATGAAGTGAAAGTCATTGAACAAATATGATTTTTTGCTTTTTTGACGTCACTTGTTGTCTTCTCTTTCGGTGAATGTTGTATTCCTGCTGTGTGTTGTCCTTTTCATAGACGATTTACTTGATAAGAATGCAAAACGAAACAATAAAAAGAAGATAAACATAGATAACAGCGAAAGATAAAGAATTGTCATGCTGTAAAAATAAGATGCGAATCATTCGAAAAAGCAAGCAAGCGGTGTGAGACACGAAAATATCTTATCAGCTGCAGCATATTACTCAAATTACAAAGAAAAATTCGTGTTTAACAAGTGAACTTCGGTGAGTAACTTATTAAGGAGATTCGATCTGCAAAGAAACTATTTTCAATCTTATACACTTAGCACAAAAGGCTGTGAATATTAAAAAACGGTTGAGATCGATATAACATTGATCCCAATGATTGACTTCAGAGTGTGGGTGTGTGGGCATGAGGTGATCATGGGAGTGTGCTGGATGTGGGTGAGAACAACTAGGGATTCAATTCCTTCACACCAAGGAGGAAAAGTAGCTTCTGGAATCCTGGCAAATTCTGAATTCTAATGGATCCTAGTGGATCCTGGTGGCTCGTATTAGGATCTACCAGTAGTCACCGGGATCCATTAGAACCCAGAATCCGTCAGGATCCCAAGAGCCGCTTTTTTATCCTTGCTTCGCATCCACCCACACTGATCTATACCCATCCACAGCCACACACACCTACACTCTGCCTGCATCCTCATAAACACCCCTCATCCTCAGTGAACAGTCAGCCGACAAATTTGATTGTCGAGATTCGAACCCATATCATAGCTAGCATTGAAGCTACTATGATCCTGTATTTAAGTGCATCTTGCATACCACTCTATAATGATTATGCAAAAAATAGGTGAATATCGTTAATAGTACATATACGTAAAATGTGTGTTTTAATTAAGGATCTAGTTATATACGTTAGTTATTATGTAGTTATACAGTGTTATGTATTTACTATATATTACAGACTATTTGAACTTCTTGAAGTTCTTTAGACTGTAATAAGATCAAAAATTTGTCATCAGTATAGTGAGAAATAGCCACTGGCTCATAATGCAATTCGTTGACCGGATTTTGCCGAAGTTTAAATTCAAGTTTAAATTTATTGTTTGATAGAACGTGCCATGATCTATCTTCATTAGATGCACACCGATGCTCCATTGACCTTCTGTCGAACTATTTGATTTTTACGGCATTTTGTAGCACAACACTGTGGTCCACCTAAGATTCACCTGAAAAATCAACTTTCCAAGTTCGACTTGAAACTTTGAGCAAAAAAAGATCTCAATAAGACAGGTTAATTCTGAAACTTTAAAATTTCTTGGTTGTTCCTATCCTTAAATATGAATATTTCAAATTTTGTGCTATAAGCACTGTGAAAAAGAATATTTTTTTCTTATACTCGTATCTCAGGATAGAAGGAGCTCAAAAATCCCAAACTTTCAGAACAAAACTAGCCTCATTGAAATCTTTCTCTGAACAAAGTTTCAAGTTGAAATTCGGAAATTGATTTCCCAGGTGAACCTGAAGAGGGCCATGGGTTTTTGCTAAAAAATGTCATAAAGATTAAATATTTCAACAGAAATAAGCTATACAAAACTGGACATCATTTTTCTGATCATTTTATTTTGTGTATAACTACCTTATAAAGTTAGCTTTTGAGGTGCGGCTTGGGCCAAGATTACAGATAGTGTTCATGCTATATCTACAGAAAATTTTACCCCTAAATGTTGAGTCATGGTGGAACTGGACATCTAACAATGAACAGCAGGCATTTTCTGTTAGATAAGTATTTTCGAACAATCTTTCCAATTGAGTTATTTCTTTTTTCATAATTGTTTAAAATAACTGTAATTATATAAATAGAACGAACAAAACACGAGGTATATTTTGATAACTAAAAGTTTTTAAAAGCAAAATGTCTATATAGTGGAATGCTTATTTTACCACAGACAACTGAGAACGTTCATGTGAACTCTTTATCAATTTTATACAATGAGTGATGTTTCTTTTTAAATATCACATCAGAAAGACATTCAAACTGCACGTTTTTCCGAAAATGAATCCTCAAAACCGAACAAAGTTTTTCGTGAAATTTGGAATTATCGACTATCTTATGCAGTGTGCGGCGCTCTTTCGAATGTGATATTTAAAAATAAAACCCATTCATTGTATAAAATTGATAATGAGTTCACATGAACGTTGGCAGTTGTCTGTCGCAAAATGAACATTTCACTACATAGACATTTTGTTTTTAGAAAGTTTTAGTTATCAAAATGTAGCTCGTGTTTGGCTCTTTCTATTTATATAATTACAGTTCTTTTAAACAATTGTGAAAAAAGAAATAGCTCAATTGGAAAGATTGTCCGAAAAAATTTATCTAACAGAAAATGACTGCTGTTCATTGTTAGATGTCCGGTTCCACCATGACTCAACATTTAGGGATAAAATTTTCTGTAGATACAACATGGGCACTATCTGTAATCTTGACCCAAGGCACACCTCAAAAGCTAACTTTATAAGGTAGTTATACACAAATAAAATGATCGGGAAAATGATGTCCAGTTTTGTAAGTACGAACTCTTCAGGATGTTCATAGTTCATTAAAGCCTACCCAATGCACATAGTCTCGATTCAAAAGAGAATTGGCAACTGGAAATTGCTTCTGAGCCCCCTTTTTTGTCCCCTATGATCCCCACCCACATCCTACCACAACTCAAGACACAACCTCACCTACACTGACACCCATTCACACACTCCGCCTGGTGAGAATGATATTGAGATAGATAAGTTGATGGTTGAATCTTTTCTTCATTCACAGTCAGTAATCTACCCTCACCCACACTGGATCCTGCTTTTTAATATGGAAGCTTTGATTTCAGAGTTTAAGTTTTTTATTAGATGAAAGCCCAATATAAGTTCTTTCGAATCATTGGTTGAATCCAGAGAAAATTTTAGCACAACCAGTTTATAGAAAACTGATGTTGAGTTCTGAGGTGTGGAAGGGAAGTGCTCTTAAAAACTATGGTTTTTTTTGCAGTATATTTCTATACTCAGGAGTTCCTCTCTCATGTTGCCATTAAATTGCTGATGAAGTAAAAAGTTATTGTTTGTTTTTAGCAGAACTGTATTTTCTCAATCATGGGTGAATCAGAAGATAATAACAATTGGAATCCCCGTCTGATTGAAAACACTTGTGATGAACCTGGAGCTGTTCTACAACCACTCGAAGACTATCAAGAATCAATACTTGTTTCTCTCGAGGAAGCCATTGAACCGATAAAGTCGCCCTTTCGTAACTTGCCTCGGGACGTGTGGATCGCTAAGAATGCATCGAAGGAACCAGCCGATGATCTTTCTCCAGATGAATCGGCTGCTATTCATCTTTA